CGTACTGCTGTGAGGAGGCAAGAGAGGAGGACCGGAGCCATATTGTTGTTTCCGAACCACCCCTACCTTGACCAAGAAATCCTTGAGCGTCATCTCCCTAAAGGTGGGCTGGCGAGGGGTAGACTCGACATTCCGCACGTTCGGCCGGGATGAAGTAGATTTCTCGTTGCTCTTGGCCGCTACGGCGCTAACCTTGCCAACGTATTAACAACTCTTCTCCTCTTCTTCCTCCGCCACCGCCAATCTTTCTACAGGGAAATTGCGACATCAATGGAGAGAGGGACAAGCAAAGAGAAGAGAGAGAGGGATAGATGGGTCAGTTCATAGCTTGGTTGGATTTAAGGATTGTGTAGGGACAGATGACATGGCGGGTTGGGTTTGGTGATGTGGAGGGTTAAAAAAGGATGAGTCAGCAGTTTTGTTAGACACTTAAGCAATTGACTGACGGTATTAGCGGAGACTAACAGAGAATGACTAACGGGTCGTTTGCTTCATGGATTTGAAAAATGAAGGTTTTGGTAAAACCTGGGTTTTGGAAATCCATGGACTTATGAAGGCTTTAGATCCATTATGGACTTTTAAAAATCCATTGTTTGTTTCATGGATTTCATGATGGATTTTGTTTAATGAAATTTGTAGATATTAAGTGAAATTGACCTTATTACCCCCTATCTATAATCTTATAACGAAAGAAGACTCCAAATGTGCAACGTATCATCATTAATTAAGCAAATGGTTCATTCTTTGTGTCGGAGGCTGCATTGGAAGGACAAGTGCCGGGGGAGATAAATACTGAACATTAATTGCAAGTTTAAATTGATCTCCATTTTAGTAAGCAAAGCATAACATAAATAAATTGTGGCGATTACTCGAAGGAAATTCTTTTAGCTAGCAAAGCATAACATAAATCAATGGTTGTGATTACTCAAAGGACATCAAGAATGTTGTTTGCTGGAAGAAGAAGGAGATAAAAAATGGGAGGATGACAATGGTGGTAATGCTGGGGTTCTTCGTGCAAGCATTTGTGACTCATAAGGGTCCAATTGGTGATTTTTGGAGCACCTCGCCACCCCATTTCACAATATAATCATTCATGCCTCTGTAGCCGTCACAAAACACCTTGTATGACATATATGTAGAAATTGAAGTAGGAGGGTAGATTGGCCATTTATATAAAAAGTGAGGACAAATAAGTAAAATACCATCATGGATTTTAATCCATCACCCAATTCCCACCTCCATAGCTAGTTTTTACAAATCCGTGGGGTCCACGGATTTGGACCTCAAAAGTGCATGGGCCCCACGGATTTACACTCCCTCACTCTTTCAAGCAAACAATGGACTTTTGTCAAAATCTATGAAGCATGCAAATCCATCACCAAATCCATCAACAAAACCCTCAAGCAAACGAACCCTAAATGTGAACCATTTTACTAATTCGAGTGACCAACATAGATATTTTTTTCCAGTGACTAAACATGTCACGTTTTACTAAACCCAGTGACCAAACGTGACATTACCCATAAGAAATCATTAGTTAGAGTAAAAAAAATTACCCTTTTCATAAATGGGGCCAGAACCACCATATTGGGCTTTAGCAAGCTATTTTGGCGCCATTTATAAGTTTGGGCTTCAACCCCATTTTTTACTTCCAGTTAGGGATGACAATGGGCCAGGTTTGTCTAAACCATCTACATCCCTCTTTCAAATATTCAAACCCGTACCCGCCCCATATCCATGCAGGAGAAGATTTTGCAAATCCATTCTCATACCCGTGAGTTTCAGGTACCCATAAGACTTTACATGTAAATGTTCAATTATAACTGATAGACCATTGATTGCACATGTTTTTACCCTTATTTTTGAGCTGTGTGAGATGGTGATTCTCGTGTTTTAAGCCGATTTCACGCTAGGTTGTGCGTTTATGTCATATTTCAGGGCTTACCGTTGGCATTGAGGCGAAGGAACGAGTTTCGGGTCGAAATGAGCACGTTTGGGTTGAAGTGTGCTAGAGGAGCAAAATACCCGGCCATGAGCAGAAATACCCGGACGGGTATTAATCTGCGCAGACCGGGGAAAATCTCTTTTGGGCGTTTGAGAAGCAGAAGGGGGCCCGGGCATTGACAATAAATCCCCGGTCGGGTATTCTTGACCTTGACCAGGGATTAATCCCCTATCCTCGACGGTGCATTTAAACAATCCCCGATCGCCACCTAAAATACCCGACCGGGTATTCTGATCGGGGATCGCGAATGCAGGCTGTTAAAAGCCTGTTTTGTGCGTTTTTGCAAGAGAGAGCTGGGTTTTGGTTCCCAAACACCCAAGGGACGAACCAAAGAGAGAGAGGGAGATTTGAGGGCATTCTTGGAGTGGAATTGGAGGATTTCTTTGCCTTGGAAGCTCGAGGAACAAGCCCGGACTTGAAGACTGGTCATCTGAAGATTCTTACTGCAGTCTCTCTCTTCTCTATGGAGTAACTTCCCTTCACTTAGGTTTTGAGGAACCCTAGCTATGTTTGTTTAATTGTATGAGTACTCCTACTTGATAATCTTGAGTTCATATTCAATCTATGCACGTTTTCATGATTCAATTCTGCTTTAGTCGAAATTATTGATTCTGTTTTGATCCTATGAGAGCGAATACCTGATTAGGTCAATAGAGCACCATAGATTGATAGTATTGGATCGATTGCTTTAGTCGAGGGTCGATTCACTGCTTTGTATCGATTGAGAACCTCATTCGATAGAGGGAGTCTAGTTCAGAACGCCTTGATCGGTTGTTCTAGAGAAGGATACATCCCTCTAGGCAATCGACTCAAGAGGGCCTTGATCCTTTAGTCGAGATTCAAGGTCAAGGATTCTCCGCATTGTGAATGAAAGTGAAACAAGTTAGAAATCATCAATCATTAATCTGGCTATTGGCTAGGGGGAATCATACCTAAGTGAGTTCCCAACGTGTAATTAGATTAACTTTAACTGTAGTTTGTTAGAGTAGTTTTAGTTCTTCCATCTTAATCTAGTTTGCTAGATAATGAATTGAAGCTGAGTAATAGTAACTCTAGAGACCCGTGGATTCGATATTTATTACTTGAGCCACTATACTGCAGTCCCTTTCATTGGTTACACTTGGCCATTGTTAGGAGTTGTGTCATAGCGAATCAATAACGCTAAACGAACCTACTATATCATTAAGTCAACAAAGATACAATTATTCTTAATACGATTCAAATCGTATGATCCTAAAACATCTATTAATCAATAAGATAGAGTATAATATTTTTCAAATCATTAGTTTCTAACTCTAATACATCTACTAAGTAATACTTAACTAACATAATTATCTTGTTAACAAGAGGGGAAAATGAAAGAATGAAGGGAGAATGGACGTAAATGAATTAGATTTGGAATTGAGTGGCCGAATGTAGTCAAAAGCGAGTTTCTATGTAGAGATGTTTTGGTGATCTAGAAGCGTAAAACCGTAAGTTTTAAAGCGGAGTTTTAATTACATAAGTTATAAAAACTGAGATTTGTGTAGAAGCGTTTTAGTGACTCAGAAACGTAAAATCGTAAGTTTTTAAGTTTTAAAGCGCGATTTTGACTATATTGGACTATTAGAGTGGTCACTCAATTGCATTTCTACTATATATTGTCTTAAGTTACCTTTACAATCATTGATAGGTTTCAACTTAATGGGGCGGGTATGGGTATGGGGAGGCTAAAACCATACCCGCCTCATATCCATCAAACTTTTTGCGGGTTTTACCCATACCCGCCTCATACCCAGTCAATGCGGTCGGGTACCCCGATCATGAGTTTGATTGTCATCCTTACTTCCAGTCCACGAGTCCTGATGTCTACTACTCGTACAAGGTGATACACTAGGGTGTCATGGCCTAAAATATCAAAATACTACCCAAAAAGGCATAAACTGTATAAAAACAAACCTTTTGACTAAATGCACATTTGAGTAAATATCAAGTAATTCCAAGTCAAAATGGCTAAAGATATGTAGAGTTGATGTAAAACTCCCATAACTTGAGGTGATAAAATGTATATTTTACGTGTTATCAAATAACTACATACTCGAACTTTATTTGCCCCAAGGTAACCTTGCTAAGAAATTGTGCAACTCATTAGACATTCATGATAATATGTAATTTTCAATCGCAGGTTATGAATCATAAGAGAATTAAAAGTCAACATTTATACTTAGAGAACCAGACCACATCATTAAGGTACATATCTCGTAAGGACAATATATCATGTTTACTTCAATTATAAACAATCAACTAAGCACGAGAGTCTAAAAATTCAAGGGCTGAAGCTTGTCAAAACTTTATTTGAAAATTAAGCTCATATCTACCTTATTTGATAATGAGAGTCTTTCTCTCTTTTGATTTTGCTTGTCGAGTTGTCATATTTAGTACAAATGAATTTTTTTTCTTATTACCGTTGATCGAGCAAGAGCAATTGGTTGCAAACAAGTGAGTTTTGTTTCTTACTACCTTATTTAGGAGCTTCTTTTAAATCATTGTCCATCATTTTCCTCAATCCGCGTGGAGAATCCATAATGGACAAATTATAGGAATGACACTTCACTCAGCGGAGATTGTACTAAGTAAGCAATACGGGTGCGAACCAATTCTCATTTGAATTTTAATACCATATATAGTGAATGATTGCCTCACACATTTTTTAGATTTTACCCATACTTTATTTGTTATGATAACTTTCTTAGATGTCATGTAGAATTTTTCTTTAATAATAATACAATTCTCCCCATATGAAAAATTTCAAAACAAAGAGACCCATTAGCAAATTTTAGGAGCAATCATGATATCTCTTTTTTGGAAAATTAGAAGTGTAACAGGCTGAATCGAGCCCATAGAAAAATTAGGCTTGATGAAACATAAACTTCAGCTATTGGACCCATTGACAAAATCGTAATACAGATTTAGCCCAGCCCGATTACACATTCTAATTTCTTCACAAGGCCAGGCCTGTTTTAATGTGGAGCTGAAGGTTTTCTCCTCGGCGACGGCGATGGTGATAGAAACGACTGCGTCATTCTGCTAAGCCGCCGGTCCGCCGTCTCATTTCCTCTCCCCACTGTCCCCACAGAGATACCGGCGCAAAGGCACAGCTGAAATAGAGCCGACAGAGTCGGAGATTAGCCGGAAAAGCTTAGAAGAAGACGAGAAATGAAGGCGAGGGTGGTGCTCCGGAAAGTGTACGATTACGTCCGCTACGACTTGAAAGAAATCGCATTCCCTTCCTCACTCCCCGACCCTCCTGGCACCAAAATACGCCCCAAATTGACTTTCTACCAGGGGTTCCTTGTAAGTTCTCATTTACTCCTGCTCCCAACTTCCAATTCCTTATTAGCCTCGACGGTAATCAAGCGGCCATTTCTTGGATTTCAATTTTCTTTTCCGCAGGTTCTGAAGAAGGCGACGAGGCTTTATGCTGCGAGCTGGGTCAGGGATATAGGTCCTGACCTTCGGCCTAATGATTACAAGAAGCGAGAGGAGGGCCAAGATGGAACAAAGGGCACTACCTCCGGAGAGAAGGAACCATCAGTGCTTGAAGATCTTGGTAAGCCAATACTTTCATCGCAGTTATGGCTGCATGAATGCCACTGTCATTTGCAGTAATATGCCTTGAACATATCTCTTTTACAGTATCATGATGACAATGATGTGATTCGAGCTTATCTTGGGGATTTTGTGTTCATTGTTTATTTATATGTAGGCAAGGAAGTTCAGACTGGGGTTACTCCCAAGTACCATTGTGTAATTGGTTTGTAGGAATGCACCATACTTGGCCCTTGGGATGTTTCATTCTGTTCATCGTTTGTTAATTGTAGCATAGAGGTAGTAGTCAAGTAGTTGTCTTGTTATCTGTTTCATCTACTGGTTTATTGAGTTGTCAAGTGCTCTTGTCCATCTCAGTTTACATGCTCACTTTCTTAACTTAATTACTATTTTGCAACCATGAAATGAATTATAGCGGTGGCTGCAAG